AGGTCCAAAATTGACAAGTTGAAATTGATTGCAACAATTTTAAAAATCAGCCTTTCTCTCAGTCGCAGTTCATGTTCACAAAAAGTTTTAATCACACATCATGCAAAAGAAACTTGATCAGCAGTGGTTGATGTGACTAGGCACTGATGAAATTAAAGTGCAAAAGACATTGAATCAGCAATGGTTGACGTGACTTGGCACTGATGGAATTAAAGTGCAAACTCACCGTCATGACAAGTGCATGCAAGCGATTTGGACAGGTGGCACCGCTTGAAACATGTTTTTTCTCCCCACTTCGTCTCTGAAGCCGGAAAGATTCCAAACGGTGGATAAAAAATTTAGATTCACCGCATCCAAACTGTTGCACTCCAAGTCCTGCTTGTACCCGAAACCGAACGGGATGCAAGGGTAGGAAGAAGGGATAATTTCAGAGACCCAAAAAAACCGAGTCCCGATACAACTCGGCTTTTTTAACTTAGGGTTCTTCCGCACTCTCCGGAGCGGTGGTGGACCAGATCTGGGGGTCCGTCAGTGAAGAAATGTGAATGGTGGCAAGCAGTCAAATGCAAACAGTTTGGTCATTCTGTTTTGATCCGTTTTTTCCCCTAACAACGTTTGTGTCAAGCGTTTGAACGTTTTGCATTCACGACATGACAAAACATGAAAACAAACGACAACGCCGACACCATGCAACAGGGAAAAAACCACTGACAAACTGCCACATACAAACATGTCAAAGAAAAACTGGAAATCCAAGGCAATGTGAAGTTGTTTCAAAAACCGGATACTTGGTTTGTCATGCAGCTGGGTGACATGCCAATCAGTTCATTGCTAGTTGCCCTGATGGATGCACTAGAGAGACTCTGAAACAGCTGACGTTCAGTTTCGCCTGCTTTTTTCCTCTCTCTGTGTTAGGGTTCGGACGCAATGGCTGGCTGCCCTGAGAAGGCTCTCTTACACTGGCTGCATCCTTCACACAAGTTCCTGTCAACCACCAGTGTACTGTACATTTTGAAATTGATCGATGGTAACCTACCGCACATCAAAAAGCCATCCTCGTTCATGGCATGCACCAGCCCTGAACTCTTATGGACCATCAGCGATGACTCTGGCACCCCTGGAAAATCAGGGAACAAGGAAGTGAGCTCCTGGCTTGCAGCTGCTCCCGGCTCAAAGCATTCCTCTCCAGCCTCCCCTGTCTCTGAAGCAACACTGGACTCTGAATCTGAATTGTCAACCTGTTCAACTTGAGGTTGCATGGTGTCCCCCATGTTTGTCTCACCCACGGAGTCTGAGAGCAGAACCACACGTTCCAAGGCTGACAGGTCAGGGTTAAAATCACCGCTTCTGATCAGTCTGAACATCATGAGAACTCGTGAGTACAGGTTGGTGTAGCTTTCACGTGAGTATGTCATGACTGACTTCATACCTGGCTCCAGGTGGTGTCCTAGGAGTCGACGCTCAGCAGGGCTGAATGGAACCTGAGTACAACGGCCTGCCCAGGTCAGTACAGTGGTTTTGCAACTGTGTGAACCATACTGAAAAGCATTGGAAGGATTGATCATGTCACTCAAAAAATCTCTGAGCCAGCACGTCGCTTCTGAAGCGCTCATAGGGCTCTCTGTCCACCTGAAACTCCTTTCGGAGTAACTTGGCAGTGTGAAGTCATAGAAGTCCAATCCCTCCACAGCTCGTGCATCCAACCAGGTTGTACCCCAGTCACATTGGCTGACACCTGTCCCAAGGGCAACGTAAGGTGTGAAGCGCGTCTTCTGTTCAGCACTCAATGCAGTCTTGCTGGCAAGTGCATCAGCATGAATGAGTGTTTCTCCATGCCCGGATTCTATTGCCAGGCTCTTCAACCTCTGAGCGTCTTTCCACCTGCAGCAGGCATGCACACAAAAAAGGATTTGCCCTGCAATGCATTGCAGAGCCGACGTCATGTCTTTGATCTTGGTCTCCAAACAGCGGACATGGTCCACAAGCAGGGGTTGCTTCTGCATCAGTGGGCTCTTGGTGAGGTACATGTCTCGGGCAACACCTTTGCACCGCCCTGACACCACTGTACGCACATCCATCAACCGCAGCTTGATTGTAGAGTCAAGAAAATGTATCGCTTCAATCATGTGCTGGGCCGTGGTTGCCCCTGCACCGTCTTCTCTCATTGCACAGAGGGCCGCATACAAGTTTTCCTCTGACATCCTCAGCGGGTTCAGGACACCCTGGCTGCGCAGCATCTTTGAGAGGCGCCACAGTGAACTGGCACGCTTCTGCAGTGTTGAGGACGCCTTCGATCTGAAGCAGTCGCTCAATGACTGCTCCACCAAGGCATGGGAGCAGCCCCCATTCAACATAGTACATATGCTCTCCCCCAGCTGGCTAGCAAGGGGATCCTGCAAAATCAAGTCACGCAGCTTGCAAAGGGCAAGCCGCCTGATGTCCTCGTCGGGCAACTCCTTTCGGGCCCTCTTGAGCTCCAATCTGATCACAGGTGGCTCAAACTGAACCCCAGCCTCAGGCCTTGTGGCCTCTTGGACAACTTCAGAATGTAGAACGTCTGACAGGCCAATGGCTGTAGGCAGAAAAACACGACTGCACCCAGCCAGCCCAGTTCCAGCCCACTTGTCTCCCGATCTGAAAGCGCCACAAAACTCTGGCATCTCCCACGGCAGTTTCGGCAGGTCCACTTTCAACCGTTTTGTTGCAGAAGCCATTGCAAATTGCTTCCAACTATGTTCAGAACGGCATGGATCTGTCACTCTTGGAAAAACATCCACTGGCAGCACATCAAGTGGGGATTCAGGTTCATATTCAGTTTCAGCTCGCTTGTCCAACCCATCATCTGAAACTCTGTCCCAACCACTGGGCAGTGAAGCACTATCGAAAATGTCAGCAGGTGAAAAATTTCCAGAGGTCTGCATAAAATCATCAACAACTTCATGACCAGGGTCCTCTGAAGCGTCCACTTGCAGGTTAGCCGCCCAACGCTTGCGGAAGCCCCTGAAGGAAGGCTGTGCACTCAATCCCAGTTCATCTGTATCCATTGTAAGCAAAAAACCCAGGCAAAAATTACTGAATGAGCACCCAAATAGCAAAAACGCATCCACTGAGAAATCCAACAGCAGCGCAACAAAAGTTTCCAAAATGTTGGGGAGTCCTCTCCAGTTTCAATGCTTTCACCAGAGCCTTGCCCTTTTGTGAAGGGTGTCCACGGAATTTCATGGCATTCCTACCCCCGATTTCACAATTTTCGAAGGTTTCCAAATTTTATTGGATAACCCACCCACCTTCCCTTGAACCGGGAGTGCTACAAGTGAAATAAAGTTACTTCCAGATCGGTAAGATCAGATTGAAGTATTTGACCTTCAGTTTTATTAAGACCCTGTTTGTTGTTTGTGACCAACTGATCAGTTTCAGTAAAGAGTAAACACATAACAGGGCAGAAACAACATCTGAGAATAAATAAAACTGGAAGGTCCCGGTGAGAAAACACTGGTGAAAATATTGTTTGGTTGTTTGTTTAAAAATTCACAAGTCTTTTGGCAAGTTGTCAGCACGGTGATCGCTGTCATCATTACTTACGCGGAGGTGAGAGATACGCAGGACGCGGAGAGGTATTGCAAGTCTATCTGAGAGAGGTACGCAAGAGGAGAGGCTATATACAGACCAGGCCTTAGGGAAGGCCTTGTTTAGTACACCAGAGAGAAAGTCTTGTCTGCACGCAGAAACGCCCATCTCTCTTTCTCAAAGGAGTAGCCATGAATGCTGCGGTCACATCTGCCAAGGGCCGAATCCAAACATCCAGCTACACCCAGTAAAACCTGCAGAGCGTCCGCAGACGGCGTCGGGCTGGAAATGCCCAAACTTCGAGCGGTGTCTTGGTTGCGCGCCTTAATCACGATCCTGGCTCTGGTGACGCCACCCTCTTTGTCGGTGGTGACCCATCTTGTTGGGATAATGCGGTAAGTTTTGTCCAATCCCTTGGTCTGCAGTTCAAACGTGTACAAATCACCAGTGCCTAGATCGGACAAAATTTGGATTTCTTTTCTCATCCCAAAAGAGCGCTTTCTCCTGACAATTCTTTCAAAGTGGAATCATCAACCGAAGATTCGAGTTCCCAAATTCTGATGCGGACGTTCCCAAAAGGTACTACGACACTGGTGGCGTTTGTGGCAAACTTGATGGAGAAAAGAGGCAAATCCCTAACCGGTTCATCCGAGTCTGTCGCCTTCGTCCAATTCCAAAACCGTTCACAACAACCCTTTGAATGATTCTTCCCTTTACGAGTCCCACTAACTTCATGCCCCACAATCTGGTGTGATCCCATGTTCTTCTACCCACTTCAAAGGCGGCCCTGCCTTGGATGACCGTAGGTACTTATAATTAGTTATCCCACTTAGTAAGTGTTTAGCCTACTTATAACCTGGTTATAACCATGGTTATCCCACTTACGTAACCATGGTTATTAACTAGGTTATCCCACTTACATAATCATGATTAGCCCACTTATAACCTAGTTACCTAACTAGGATAACCATGACTAACTAGAATTTGGGGGTATAGGAAAACAAAATCGAACCATCTGTTTTTTGGATGGAACATTGTTTTTGTAAGAAAAATTGCGAGCCACAGAGGCCCTGCAAGCAAACTGCGAGCTTTGAAAATAAAGCCCTGCATGGATGCATGGGATCAATCGATCCAAACACGCATGGCTATAGATGCTGCCATTGCATGTTTCAAATATGCCATGCAAAAAAATGTTGGCATTGCTTATGCGTATGGCTCGCCTTGAGGAGAACTGCAGGGCCACCCACGGCTCGCTGAGCCATTGCCCAAAACCGCGGAACCTGCCATCAACCCAATTCCGAACCTCTTCTTGGCGCATTCCTGGCAAAATGATTTGGCTGATCACAGGTGATGCAATGCAGGTCTGCGAAGTCATGACTTTCATGGCCATTGCAGTTCATGTGAAGCTGATGCAGGGGACTGGGCCAACATTTTCAGGGGATCACGGTTGCCACACCTGAATTCACGCAAAAAGGAAGTGCTCTTTGCAGGCTTCCAGTAGGAACTAATTCTGGCACATCAGTCATTCGAAAAAGATTGTGGCCTTGCAGAGGCGTCCACTTAGAAATGATTGAGTGAAACGATGTGCCATGAATGTCTGACACAACTTGCACGTGAAACCAAATCTCAACGATATGTGTGGATGTGCAAACTGCATCTCCACGGCTCATGCTTTCATAGTTGCATTGAGCTTCTGAAGCTACAAAGACTCTTACGGATGGGTCCAGGGTCAGCCCAAGGGTTTGTTTCAGCCCATTGGTCATGTCAACTGACGCCTCCTTTGCATCAATGAGTTCAATGCCGCCTCTGCGTTCCCATTCCTGCAGCTCCAAGTATTGGGACAACACGACCTCATGGATGACGCCATGTTCCCATGACATTTTTTTGTTTGCATTTGTACTGTTGTTGCCGTGTCGCTTGAGGGCACGGTGCTTCCTTTCGTGCGCCCAGCACGATGCCAGCGTGCCATCTCTGGCCAGAATCTTGGGTAAGTGCAAACTATAATGTGTTTTCGGCTGCATGCTCTTGGCCTTATAGGCATCCAAACGGGTGGTCATGTGAGCTTCGATAGATTGCTGGAGTTCCTGGGAAAGCAGCTGGAATGTTGCTGCGCGATGACAATCTTGGGAAACATGAAAACAGTGGGTTCAAATATATAAAATATAATCCTGGGAAACAAGAAAGCACTGGGTCCAAAAAAAAAATATATATATATATATATGCAATTTGTCAATGAAAGCTGTCAAGGTTCATCCGGTGACACTGCCCCTTTCCGGGTCTTCACCAGAAGGTCCAAAACTGCAGCTAAACAATAGTAGCTCCTGACCGCCTTAAATGCTGCTGACTCTGCTATAGACTGCGGCACTTTGGTTTGCAAGAAGCATCGCACTGAAGGATACAGAGACAACCCTTCAGAAGCTGAGCAGGACAAGTGTCCCTCCTTGTGCTTCTCGACTACTTTGATACCAGTGGTGCCTTTGGAGGAAACTTTCTTGGGCCACGTGACAGTTTTCAGGAAATCGGCTAAAGCTGGAGCTCCCATCCCATGCTCTTTGTTGAGCACATCAAGCAACAAGGAAACTTCAGAGTTCCATAATCCTGAAACCAAATAGATGTGCATCCAATCGTAGGATGTCATGGAGACAGCACCGGGAATGGAATTCATAAAGTTCTCATCATAAAGTGCCCCCTCAGCCGCGAACGTCAATCCCAGTGCCTTTTCTAAATCTTCAAAAGCTCCCTTGCCCAGCCTGCCCTTCTCCAAAACCAATTTCTTTGCAGCTTGGTTGATAGATTGGTCTGTGTGCTGTGCACACATGTTCAAAGAACAAACATACGATGGCACAAGTCTGCCGGTCCTGTCATGAGCTGCCAAATCCAACAAGTGGTTTGTGACATTTTGACAAAATATGCAAATGAAGGTTCCGGAGGATCCTTTGTTGCTCCAACACTGTTTCAATGCCGCTTCGTCGCCCAAAAGGACCTGGACCTTGAAGAACACATGAGAGCAAGATCCACCCAATGGCAAATGAATGCCAAGTCTTCCATCCAAAGGTTGAGATTGAAAGAGTTTGCATATGTGTTTCCAAATTTGTGAGTATTGCCCCAGCACCTTCTTCACATGGACAGTTCTGCAACAGGTCAATTGGAACCATAGTTCCTCCCGCCCCAACTGCCCTTTGAAGTCTAATATACTCCAGTACCAAGCCACCATCTTCCTCATGTTTGTAGCCTTTAACTGGTCGCCTGGTAAGATTTCGTCGCAGTAACAAATTATTCTGAACGGAGCTGCTGCGCTGTTGCCCACAGACTCTAGCACACTTTCAAAATATTCGCGAAATGGCCTGCAATTTTCCAAAGTGACATAGAGCAAGGCATAGGGATTGCAAACAGGAAGCTCCAGCAGGCTGTTGCCTTCACAGAGTAGTTGAATGCTGCCCCATAACGGGCCCACAGGCGTCTCCTGTGGAATCGCGTCTGCCCGTCTCCTTTTGAGGGTCGGGCGGCTTATGGCATCTGGCAGACCATGCTTGCGGACGGCCTTGAGGACCGCCACCAGGCCGCTCTGCGACACAAAGGAGTGGCCAGCAGCAGCCACATAGACATTCATGCCGGAACTTGTTGAAGTCATGGCGCGAGTCAACTGATGACCCTGCAATGGTGAGACACGAGCGCGAATTTGGCCCTGTGTTCTTTCTTCTTCAGGCTGCGTGCAGTATGATATTTATGGTTTGGCCACGCTATAAAGAATATAGCAGCAGCGCACTGTTGAATCGCAACTGTGCAACATATGTTCTCATCTCATGGGCATGCACATTACATCCGTTTTCAATCTCAACACTGGAGCCACTGGAGTGGCAAAAAAAAGAAACAAAAACTATTTGCACTGTCAGAGCATCGAATGTTATTTGCCTCCAGAACATACTCGCATGTATCTTGAATGCAGGATACTTGTGATCATCAAAGAAATGAAGTGGTGTGATCACATCAGGAATTTGCCAGACATCCTCCAGGCCTGGCATGGGCAAACGCCTCGATCACCTGAGGCCAAAACCTTGGTGATTGCAGGGCCAGACACGAAAATTGAAATGTTCTGGTTAATCACAATTGTTGATCTGGACCTGGTGCTGAAAACCCTTTTTGTTTCAGCGATGCATGGCACAAATTGCCACGGCCGAGTTCACTGAACATAAAAATTGGAGAATCTTCTGCGAGGAAGGCATGTGGCGCAGGTTGCCACTGCTCACACTTTGACCGCGACGAAAGAACCACAAAGAATTACAACAGTTTAAAACAACACAAATTATACTTACACATACATGGGGGCTATGAACTAATCAGCATTGGGAATGTCATCATATGAGTCATCAATCAGTGTGAGGGCTCTTTGCCACTCAGCCTCGCAATTGTCTTCATCTTTGATTTTCACTTTTTTGTCACACCTATCACCAGCGCTCAAAAAAACTCGAAAAGCTCCTGAGTTGCGGTGAATCTTGCCCTTTCTGTACCAAGTCGTGCCTGCCTTGGGCGCTGGGACTGGCGGTCGGTTTGCCTCTGTGAAAACCATTTTCTCAGCAGCTGCTTTGGCCTTTGCACTGGGTTTGGCTTTCGCCTTGGGGGATGGGGCCACAGCATCATCGCCATCACTTGCCTTTCTCTTGGACGAAGCTGCAGCTCCCTGTGCCATACTCTTGGCAGACCCTTTTGCCGGACTCTTGGCTGCTCCTTTTGCCTTACTCTTGGCTTTTGCCTTGCCTTTGCATGTTGCTTTTGCCTTTGCAGAAGTACGTTTCTCTGGTTCTGTTTCCTTGGCTTCTGCTCTTGTCACCTGTCTTCCCTGTGTGGCTGCTTGGACAGCGGCAACCTGCTCTTCTGGTGGCACCAGTTTCGCAACATCTGGCAAGGCAAGCTGCAGCTCTTGACCTTGTGAATCTTCTTGTGACTCACCATGCGGTGTCACAGCAGCAGGCGGTGAAGCTGCACTTGACGGAGCAGTGGGTGAACGGCTTGGAGTTACCTGATTCAACTCGGTCTTGTTGCCTGCGAAGATCTTCAGGCCTGCAGGACCGGTATCCTGCTGTGCCTGCTGCTGGTTCTGGCCAAAGAGGCACATTGCCATCATTTGCATCATGTTCATGGTCATCGCATCCATGCCCGTAAAACCCATAGCTTGTTGAGCCATAGCTGGTTGCATGGCAGAAGCTACACCGCCTGATGGCATGGTAGGCGACAGCGTGGCAGGCGCAGGCATGGGAACCAAAGCTGCTCCTGCAGGTTTGGTCTTGCTGGAGCTTTTCCTCAAGCAACCCAAAGTCCCAACGCTACGGGTGGCCCTTTGCAGGGGAGGATCGTCAGCATCATAGCACTCTTGAATCATGGCCTCAGAAGGCATGTCTGGGTAGATCACAATGTGAGCTCGTTTGCTGACATCCTGCTTGGCTTTCCTTGCTTTCGATTTGAAGAGAGACTTCAACTGGTCGAGCAACTGCAAATTCTCTTTGTGCGTGCCCAGCTCCAAGCCCAGGTCACCACACACCCTCAGTGGTGCAAAAAGGACATGGATATGCAGGGCCAGAAAAAAAATAAGGCTCGCAGGATGCATGAAAAGAGCAGGGTCAGAAGGTGGCTCGCTCTACGTCCAGCTGGTTAACTGGCACTAAAAACATGCATGGTTTTGCAGCCAAGCAACTTGAGGATATGGCCCACGCTGACTTCGGTTGGCACATCGATCCCCAACCGGATCATGCGGACAGCCACTGCGTCCAGCTTGGTGTATGTGCTCACCTGCTTGTTTTGAAGGGTATCAGCATCCTTCTGCGTCAGGTACGCTGCGAAGTTCGTAATGGTTTGTTTGTTCCTCTTTTCTGTCGTGGCCGGTGCTGTTCCCTGCAGCACTTTGGCACTGATCGCAAGGACCAGTGGGCTTACCGTTGCCAGCCCGCTCAACTTCTCCTTGACATTGTCGATAAGATCTGCTGCGTCACCTGCAGAAAGAGCCGGTAGCATCTGGCACTTTCTCAGAAGCGCCTGGCATTGCTGATCTAGGACCTGCGAGAAGCAGTCGAGGTCCTTCTGTGCTTGGAGGAACTTCGCTGTCTCATCGAGTGAGTTGATTAGCAACTCAACAGCGGTCATTTTCCAAGCACGACTGTCGGCACTTGAGCCTGATCTGCAAACATGAGCTTGCATGATGCAAGTCTTGCAGCATGTTTTGTGCGAGTTGTTAGGAACAACCCTGCCCTTTGCACTGGTGCAGTTCTCCGAGCTACACGTGCTGACCGATATCGAGCTACACTACATATGTAAAGTAGCCCTGATTGTGAACTAGGTCTGAGAGTGCAACTAAATGGATGCACACCGGTACCACTGACAAAGCAATCACAGCAGTGTGGCCATCAAATTCTGTCTGACTCATTGTCAATGCATTCATTGCTCAACTGCAAGTGGTAGAGTTTCACGTGTGCTATTGCAGAAGGGCTTCCACAGAAAGCAAGCAAAGACACAGGTGAATGCACAGTCCCAATTTGCTGAGTTTCTGAAACAAAGTTGATGCCACAATTGGCATGCCAATTGCAGTTTAGGATACTGGAGACGCATGACAACTTCAAAAAGAATCTCTTTTTTTTCGACAGGCGCATTTCAGGTCTTGAGCAACAATCTGTGCTTGAAATTTCGACATTGCGTCGGCACTGCTTCTACTTACATACCAGACCGAAGACAATGCCAACAATCAAAAAACGTTTTCAGCCGTGACTTGTGTCTCTGCGCTGGGTCACTTCTTAGTGTGAACCTTCATCACAGCCTTGCCAGCTGGCCTCTTCAACACATTGCTCTTGGCAGCTGGCTTTGGTGCAGGTTCCGGCTCAGGTTCGTTGGACTTGGCCATCATCGTGGTGATCTTTGTGTTGCTGCTCTTGGCTTGCTTCTCCATGTACGAGAGATAGGTTGCCGAGATGTCAAGCTCAGTGTGCAGCCTCATGTTCGTCAAATGATGTCGCATTTTGCCCCACAATGCTGCCATGGTCTGGTCGTCCTTGATCTGCCCACTGCCAGCCCTCAGTCAAACGAGTTGGGCAATGATATGAAACGAAAAACCAGGGGAAAAGAAAGAAACATGACAGCATGGACTGGGGCGTTCGTTCAACAGTCAAATCAAAAGCCATACCCCCATGGTTGACAATGCCAAGCTTTCCTGTTGATACATGAAAGATAACACAACAGTAAATCAATTGCTGCTGGAAAACAAACTGCCACTGAACGTGTATGTGAAGGTGTAGTTCATTTCTCCACCGACTGGTGAGGTCAAGTCCACAGTGATCAATGGACCCCTCACAGGCTTGGCCAGCATCACCTCCCGGGTCTTCTCTCTGATGGCCACGATGCCCTGAGCAGTTCTCTCTTCCAATCTGAATTTGAACGCCGACATTGGGGCCAACGTCACAAAGAACCTGTGACCCAGTTGCTCATTTCCTTGGAAACAAGACAGAACGCGTTCGTTGGCCTCAATCCCAAGCTTGGACCACCCGCTTGATACCGAGAACGCTTGTGTGAGGTCCCCAGGGCGCTTGGCCATGATCTTGTACTGCATCTTGGAGTCGGCCATGTCGGCAGCTGAAGCTTACGTGGCCAGAAGTCGCGAATGATCTTTGAGTTCAAATCGGATGCTACAGCAAGCGAGCCAACTCATGTGATGGCCCTGCATGCAAACTCATGCGAGTCTAAGTGACCCTGCTCTATTGGTTTGACTAGTCAGCATGCATCTGGTTCATGTAATGTCTAGTCTTCATCAACTTGGATTGAAGATGCAAGCAGCTGTGCAACATCAAGTATATTCCACAGCCATGCAATGGCACAATCTGCAGAAACACCATGGTCTGCATGGCACTCAGCCGGCCCATCTATCTCAGGGCTAAACCCAGCTCGAGAACAGTGCAGGGCCATGCTCACGCTCGCACCTGATGGCCTTAGAGCGGGTTGCACAGTTTATTCATATTCTATTGTGATTCCAAAGAACGTGACATTTGTGTCTTCTTTGTCGAAGTATCACTTCTAGACAACATAGCCTTTGAAAGACTTGGGATGCAGGAGTGCTGCAGTTGGAAACATATTCATACAGGCTTCCCCAAGTTGTCCAACCAGTCAACTCTGTTTTTCTTTGCAACATGGTGAGTTACTTGATGTGCATCTGTGCGCACTTACAACCTGATATGTTTGAGATGCTTATTTCAACCTGCTGCAGCATGGTTCCATGCAAGTATCAAATCATTCACTCATTGGTTTTTCTTTTGTTTCAGACTCCAATGCATGATCGCAATTTGTAGGTGTGTCCATCCCGTGGTCCTTTCCTGGGATCCCACTGCGTTGAGACGCGTATCGAAACCTCAACAGCGGGCAGCAGCACATGTGTGGCTGGGGTTGGGCAAAGACAGCTGAGCCATTCAGAATTGATATATAAAAAATAAAATGGTGGGTTTGTCAAGCTATGTCTCCCAATCAACACATGATTCCAATGGAATTCCAATAGTGACCAAACTACATTGATGGAATTGAGCTCACAAACTCCCTGCAGCAGCCCCATGAACTGCAGATCGAACCTTTTTTTGCACTCCGGTGCAGGCTCTTCGGAGATCTGTGCGCGTGCATACAAGTGAACCAGTTAGGTTGGCCATGAATTCTGGTGTTGTTTTTGTGGTTGAAAAAAATAAATTGTGTGGTTTGTGAGGGCCGGTCTCCTACGTGTTGAGCACAAACTGACAAAAATGACCAAATCATCAGAAATCGAATTTTTATCGTGGCGATAAAAACGGTGTTTTCCAAATTTCGGATTTTATCGCCACGATAAAAATTTGTTCAAAATTAATAGATTTTTATCGTGGCGATAAAAATTTGATTTCCCAAATGTCCAATTTTTATCGTGGCGATAAAAATTTGATTTCCCAAATGTCCAATTTTTATCGTGGCGATAAAAATTTGATTTCCCAAATGTCCAATTTTTATCGTGGCGATAAAAATTTGATTTCCCAAATGTCCAATTTTTATCGTGGCGATAAAAATTTGATTTCCCAATTTTTTTATCGTGGCGATAAAAATTTGATTTCCCAAAAGTCCAATTTTTATCGTGGCGATAAAAATTTGATTTCCCAAAAGTCCAAATTTTATCGTGGCGATAAAAATTTGATTTCCCGAAAGTTCATTTTTTATCGTGGCGATAAAAAATTGATTTCCCAAATGTTCAATTTTATCGTGGCGATAAAAAAATGAATTCCCAAATATAAGATTTTCATAGTAACGACAAAGAATTAAGATCCATTGTAGCTTCGATTAACAAATTATTTACATCAAATGTTGCTCACATGAACTCTAACCACATATGTTTTCACAGCCTCCCATACTGATCAACCATGGCTATTGAATTGCGGCTGGGGTCTTCAAGTCACCACCATGTGCTGCCTGCACGGGATGTGACAGAGGTTGTGAACCAATTTTCAGGGCGTTGGCTTTTGTATGATTGACCAGATACTACAATGGAGAGGTGTCCTACCAACCCTGCATTTCATGATGACTACTATTTGACCCCCAAAGCATGGCTGGATTATGCCCCCGGTTAGAAGTATCCTGGTGTGGCTTCGACGAGTGAGGCATGTTCCCATTGTCAAACAATTGCAAACTAATACAAGTATATGTTTGAAAGTGTTGTTTGATGTTCTTGCACATTCGGATTGGCCAGAGATATTGTTCAACATGTACTATTTTTCCAACATGCCATACTCTTCTACTGAACACCAGGATACCCCTTCTCTTCAACACACAATGATGGTAGACAACCGTTTGAGGATTGAAGGAAACTGCGTTTGTTTATTTCAACCAGGGGCATCCTACCCAAGCTTCACAGACAGGCAGGCTTACGCTGCACATGAGCTGCATAAATAGCTGCTACTGTCAAGGGCAGGGTGAAATCAAATTGGCATCCATCATGATTGACTCGATCTAATCTAAGTCTCTCCAATTGTTTTGGGTGTTCATGATGCATGCGCTTCGCATGATATGCAGTTGAAGGCCATCGGAACTCGTCCAGGGTTGTCTTGGGAATTGCCGTGCGGAAATGGCTAAGACGTTTTATTGGTAGTCCCTAGTTCAAAGGGTCCCATGCTTGCACCATGTTTTCACTTTCCTTTCTGGCCTTCCACAACTGCCCTGGCCACGCTGGCCAAGTCTGATACGGCGCTCATTGCCATGCTCCAGTCAGACTTGGCTTTGCCTTTCCCTTTGCCCTTCGTGCTGCCCTGTCCCGGTGTTCTCTTCCTTGTCCTCCCTTGGCCATACCTCGCAGGGAAGCAGGGCCGAAATGATATGGCTCGCACAATGGATGCAGGGCCATCAATGGCTCGCGCAATGTGAATAAAATGTTGGTGATTTGAACCATGTTTGGACTTCACAAAAACAAATCCGCAATGAATTGAAAGCCAAGTTGCGGGTAGAACTGTCCATTCACAGCGCGGTACCCTCCCACGCAGTACTCACCGCCGAAGTCGTCATACTTTCCCTTCCCAGTACCTTTCTTTCCACCTCCGCGGGACTTCCATCCATAGCGGCTCCACCAAGGCTTCGATCCCTTTTGGCCGCCCCTCTTGCCGCTCTTTCCATCTCCCTCTTCGGGTTCGACCTGGTCATCCACCTCCTCTGCAGGAGCTCCATCTCCATCATCTTCCTCCTCCTTCTCATCATCTTCTTCCGGCGCCTGCACGTCATCAGCCTCGCCGCCTGCACCATCAGCATGCTCTTCCACTTCCACTGGCTCGTCCTCCTTTTTCTCCTGGGAAGGTTGGCGATCATGCCATTTCCCCTCGGAGGGATCCTATTGCCATTGCTCTGTCCCATATTCGCCATACTCCTTCTCCTCCTCCTTGGCCGCGTAGGCTTCCTCGGACGTTTTCCTGAGAAGCTTGAAGGCAGCGCCCGGCTCATGGAATGTATCATTGTCCTCCATGGCCATGGCCTTTCTTCTCCTTGTCTCCTCGGCGGCCAGGATCATGTTGTTCTTGGCCCGGGCGTTTCGGACCTCCCTTTCCTGGAGAATCCCCTCAGCCGTCCGTTCAGACTTGGGCGCCTGTTTGACCACCAGGCCACTGCTGGGCCTTGCAGCACTCTTCGAACCAGCGCTCATGGCTGGGCAGATCTAAACAGATCAGGAATGATGTTAGAAAAGTTGCAACATGGTTATGACCTTGGTTGTTTATGTTTTCGTGATTTTGGTGTGTGTGTGTATATGTATATGTGTTGAGTTGGAATGACTACTGTCTTTGCTTTGACATGCAAAACTGTGCGTTCAAGTCTCCCTCGAGACCTAACGCGCCGATCGGGTGAAACGGGTGAAAGGATGCTGTGGCAGCGCTGCGCTGTTCTGATTGAAAAATGAAATGGTGTTTAGTGATGCTCCAAATGTTCAATAGCTATTGAACTGCTCTTGCCTAATGCTTGGCATAGTCAAGTCTGTAGAAGGCATGCAAGTGGAATGGCGTTAAGTAAAATGCGCTGCAGCTCTGCAATGACGTGCCAATCGGCTTGCTATGTTGAATTAATGCCTACCGGCATGCTGTGGGGTCATGGAGTTGATATGGACAATTCACTCCGTCTTGAGCCGCGGCGTAGAACGGATGGAACGGGCTGCTTAATGGAAGATTCAGAACATGAAGAGATTCAAGTCAATCTGAAAAATGCTCTTCAAACCCGTGGTGTGTTTGCAGAGACTGTGCATGCATGGCCACTGCATGGTTCGAGATGCCTTCACACACATGACATGCCAGTTCAAATAAATGGTTTCGATTTGTGCTTGAACATGAATGCGTTTCAATGTTGGAACTGGCATGTGCAAGTCCAAGTACATTCATCCATATCGGCAGCAAGTCCATTGGGTTCCCAGGCTATAGCACTCCCTTAATGGCCAGGGTCTTGGTCCAGGCCTAGAGAGGTGCGGTGAGGTCACAAAAACTCTGGGTGCCTATGCATAAAGATTTGAATAACCAGTAGGGCGGTTGCCCCTTCATATGTTGACCATGACGCCACAGATTTTCCAAAAAAAGAAGGTGGCCACGAAACATGCTTGCAGGCACATTGAATTCTGATTCAAACTGATCCAAAATGATTCAAACAGAAAACTCTTTTGCGCCATCACACATGAAATGCAAAATGCTTTCATCCCAGCATAGTGAAG